AGAAATAATAACGAGCTCTTCAATTTGATTTTTATGGGAACGATGTCAGTACGTTTGGCATGTATGACTTTTTCAGCTGCCTTCAAATCGTTCGTCTTAATTAGCAAAAGTACTAATTCAATGACTTCACTATAATCTTTGATCGAGACCTCTGCTAATTTGGAAAATATTGCAGGACCCGACGGATTTTAGGTAGTTCAGTTTGTCATTGGTTATGACTGATGCTACTAGAGATATTTGGATGGGATGACCATAGTTTCGAAGATAAGAAGAAATCGATAGTGATTCATCAAGCTTAAATTGGAGTCGTTTGTTGGGTTTGTTCTTCTTTTTATCAATGGCAGGGTCCAGAATTAAAACGCAGAACGAGATAAGTTTTGGGGAGTGAACTCCGCTCTTATTTACTTACGCAAAATATGCTCCCGAAACCGGAGTTAATGTAGACTTTTATAAAAATTAGCAGCCAACTGGGTGCGAATAATTCGAGACTGAGAGATAAGCTTTTAAGCTAAACTATTATTCCTTCTTTTCAATTGCTTTTAAATGAGTAGGGGATAATATGAAAGGAAAAAAGAATGAAGATACCTCGGAAAAGCGGAATTGGACCGCGATGGATAGTAATATGTGTAAAAAGTGTACCTTTTACATGCTTGTCAATCGCAAATGTGGATCACAGGACTTCTCATTTCGCATCTAAACGAGAAAATTAATTTTCGTTCACGCAGAATAGTCCATCGAATTATTTGGATAAGACTTGCTGATCAACACCGTTAAATTAGATTTTACAATTATGATTATGAAAATTTGCAAACAATACTTTAGAACAATTGCACCTGCCCGTTCGCCATTCTTTTCAACCTTTTTATGTAAAGTTGAAATATTATATTTTACAAAACTTCGGCTTTTATAATTCGCTACTTTCACCCGCTGGCCAAAAAATTACTAATAACAACATGAGTTACAAGCAATTACATAAAATACATTACAGACAAAATTGCTTACTTAAAGCAGCCTCGAGATTGGCGGAAAGGGAATCTTGAAAGATGTGGAAGCTTTAGTAGAGTAAATGAATTTGTATATTTATTGATAATGTGTATGAAAAGAAGTGTACATCGCTGCATGTCGATTTTTGCAAAAGTTCCGCGAGCCAAAGCGGCTTTTCAATAAATTTAAAATTGATGCGAGTGATGGTTAAAGGGAACGTACACACGTTCTGTGATCCCTTCGCTCATTAGGTCCGAGCTGGGGTCTGGAGGCTATCAATAATGGGTGAGTAACAAATTTTTACCTTAGCGTTGGCCAGTGCACCTTTCCAGTTGCTGTATCACAGATGGTAAAAAAAGATGGCCGAAAAATTTTGCGAGGAATAAGTTTGGTGCGGTATCAGTGCCAACACAAAGGAGTGGTACTATAGAAAACCAAAATAGCTATCAAACTTCATTTTTCAAAGGAAAATAAAGTAAAATGAATGGCTATAGAAAGATTGCAAAATGCTTTTACGAGATATATGTAAGTACTTATGTAACAATTATCATTTAGATATATTATATTTAACGTAATCTATGTAGGATGGCGTAGGTGAATATTAAAGAAAAAGAGCCTAGAGCGGAGTTCATGCAACAGCGGCCAGGACTAGGGACAGATGCGCTTCCTAACTGTGTTCAAGGGAAGCAAGGAGCAAGCGATCTTTGGCAAGAACTTACAAAAACATTGAACGCCTTAGGTCCTCCTGTAAAAGAACTCATACAATGCAGAAAGGTGAGAGTGTGTACAGTAAAAGCCCCTTATTCGCGGGGGATATGTTCCATAAAAATGCCGCGAATACGGAATGGTAATTTAAATGGGATTGTAGAGGATACGTCCCTAGGTGACAAAATAAAAAAAAAAAAACCGTGAATACGGAATGGTAATTTATATGGGATTATAGGGGATACGTTCCTAGGTGAAAAAATAAAAAAAATCAATTTAATTGAAGTTTTTGAACATTTTGATCAATTATCTTAAGGCTTAGGCAATGGTTTGAAGAGCTTTGTAAGTTTCTCTTGCTTGGCAGTTTTTAAAAGCTGCTTCAATTCAGACTGATACACGCAGCAATCGCATTAGCAATTTGCCTATTAAAAATGAGACTTGGTTCCATAGACCGATCAATGTTCATAAAGAAATCGCCAAGCTCATTTGCCATTCTTAAACCTTCACTAAGACTTTTCAAATTACATGTCATGTTTCCAGTGCTTGTTGAAGCCTCTTCTTCAATGGGCTGTGAATTTAACATTTCCTCCAAGTTGGTTTCAGTCAAATCTTCATCTTGCGATTCAAGCAATTCCTGAATGTCACTTGATTCTATCTGTTCGAACCCATCTCGTCCTATGCCATTCGCGATTTTGGCTATGTTTGGAGTCAAAGTTTCAACTTGCACAGATTCTTCGTCATTTTCCCCAGTCAGAGCAGGCCACAGTTTTTTCCAGCATTACTTCAATGTGTGTGGCTTCAGTTCTTCCAATGATTTTTTTATGTTTACGATGCATTTTACTACGTCAAATTTCTTCCTGCATTCCATACCATTCATATCAGGATTACATTCCATATTATCCAATATGACTTTGAAGGTTCGTCTAATGTAATAGAGCTTAAAGGCGCATAGGTTGAAGCAAAGCTGTCGTGCTGGGAGATAAAAATATCACTTTTATGTTTGGATGCATAGTTTCAAGTTCGCGAGGATGACCTGCTGCATTGTCCAAAACTAGAAGTGCTTTAAAGTCAAAATTCAATTTTTTTAAATAACTTTAATATTCAGAAACAAAACAATTCCGTAACCTGTCACAAAAAAACCGTAAATAAAGAAATTTATAGCCGCGAATATGGGAATTGGTCGCATTTTTTTCATCCGCGAATAGTGAAACTGCGAATAAAGGCAGCGCGAATAAAGAGCTTTCACTGTATATTCATATTCTCTTAATTTTGTTTACTTATCTTCTTTTTGCAGGCTTATGCTGAATAATATGAAGTAATCTTATATATTTACTTATATATATTACATACTTACTTCCTTCAGTTTATATTCTACTTACTAGAGTTTGTTTTATACTTTTTTCTTTAATAAATCTCAATTTTTTGGCCAATTTTCTTCTCAAATTTTATGTTTCGTTTGTTTATTTATTTGCTTTTCTTCCTCTTCTTTGCGTTATTTTGTCATACATTGCTTTGCAAATATTCGCTTATAAATGCAACGCACGAGAAGCACAACTTATTCGAAAGCAATAGATTGCCATCAAGCCAAAACGCGATCGTAGCGTTGTAGTCTTTCGTACGATAGCTCCATAACAAGAATCGTAAAGCCCTGACTTAGTGCGTACGATAACACAATTTTTTAATTGCTGTTGCGTGAACTGCAATGCCTCAATCGTGTGTTTGACGCACGATTTTTCACACAAATTTATCTCCTTGTTCTAATTACCATGTCCGCTTATCAGGTCACAGGTGTATCTAACATAAAAATAATTTTCCAAAAAAATGTCACTTATACAAATTACTTCATGCACACATATTAACGGACCTTGAAAAAATTGAACATTGTCCTTACTTTTAGCACTCTATCATTTAATAAGACCAATGTTTTGAAATAAATTAGAATTTATTTTTTATTCAAATAATTAAAAAAAAATGATTTTCTCTTTTTAAATAATTAAAAACTATGTACAGTATCAATTACTACATTTCAGTAAAAATACATATATGTAATTGTCACCGTATGAAGAAGTATGGACATTCCGTTTGGACACCCTACTCCTTTTATTAAAAAAGACTAATTTATTAAATTTAGTCATTTAGATTAGTTAGTTCTGAATAACGTGCGATTTCACGACCTTCTTTGTTCTTAAAGAATGCAAAAATGAACTCGGAGCAATAAATAAGTGTAATTGAAAAAACGTAGACTGTTTTCTTGTTAACAGTGGCGTTTGATAAATCAAAAATTTTTAATAACTGCATTTAAGAAACTTTAACTAAGATTTAAAAAAAATCAGTGGCTCTTCGAAGTTTTTTTTTTTTTTTTTAATTAGAGCACTCTGAAAACGCATTCTCCAGTCTTTTAAAATAAACAAATATTTTCCTTTTCCCATTCTAATTCACTTTTACTTTAAGTCTATCCCAAGGTAATAAAAGGATTTGCTTTTACATTTTAGTTATCGATGAAAATGTTTCAAAAAGATCTTAATGAAGGAAAAATTCGTTTCGTGTGTTATAAAGACGCCCCCCCAATTTATAATTCGGAAATGTAGAGACTACTACATTCTACTTGTATTGATAGACTAATGTATTAATTCAGGTTCATTATTTGAACGTTTGTTACGTACGATTGTTCTAGCGAAATTATATTCGCGTCTATACGCTAAGTCTGACAAGGTTGTAGATCTTGAAAATCTCCTTCCTTACTTTATATTGTCCTCTACTATAGCTATTATACGTGTGAGAGGACTCTACCCATTTCAAAATTTGACGTCAATCTCAGTAGGAATATTTTACGTTAGTTTTTTGTAGTTTGAGACAGGCAATTGTCTAAAGCAGAGGTACTATAATGAGTGAGCAGAGTATTCCATGTTGATGTTTAGTCCTAGGTAATGACGGATGTTAAGTTCTTAAACAATCCATCCTAATTCCAATCAAGACTGTATTCAGTTATCGATAATTACCAAACACACTTGCATGAATTATGATCAAAATACCATCTACTCGAGTTCTGCTCTTAAATGCAACTAAAGTGCAATAATTAAGCAATGATCCTAGAAAATAGGAATGTTAGCCTCACATTTATCATACAAAGGAAACGAAACAAAGCGAGGAGATAAGAAAAAGTCCGTAAATATGTACGTTTAGATTTATCAAAGAGCAAGAGAGATATTTTGGACACAATCGAAGTAGTTAGTAGTTAGAAGGTAGTTAGTTTATCTGCTATGTACGGGGAATCATTTTCTCCAATTTTTTAAGAATTATCTTTAAGTCTCTTTTTTTTTAACAATAAAACATCTCAATTTATAACATACTTTTAGGCAGTTATTTACACATATAAAAACCAAATAGAGAATCCTCGAAAATATATTCATTCATTTTTTTTCTTTTTGCTCTGAAACAATCGTTTTATACAGGATAAGCGGTAAGAGAGGATAGTGAAGAGTACATAGAAGAATCGAACATATACACATATTAATCCATGAAGGGTAATTGAGTAGAAACTTCAGCTGCATTACGTTTTATCGAAAACATTGCAACGCCGCTTGAACATTCCGGAGCACAACCCATCAGTACAAGGAACAAACCATTGTTACCAATACTTTTATAAATTTTTGAAATCCACTTATTCACGTGTTCTAGAGTATTATCCATGCTGGTAGGCAGCAACTGATCGGCAGTTACGTATAAGTTAGTAAGTGTCAAAGCATTTTCTAGGCAAATTTCCCTTGTTTTTCGAACCGCTTCCTTGTTGGACTCTAATTCAAACATTATCACCGACTTGTTGGGATTATTGCCTTGGGCTTTATCAGCTTGTTTCAGAAGTTCTTGGACCGCCTTAGGTAGTGATTTGGCTGTTATGATCGCGGTACGTTTGTCCCGTATGCTTGCATGAGCGAAAAGATTATTCTTGACAGCATCACCACTAGCCGCTCGAATAATATCATGCACGCGTTTCTTTTGTGTGAGAACTTCATCACCAAATTCAACGCTATTAGCAAGTTTCATTTTCACCAATTTTAAACTGGAAATGGAATCTTCGACAGAATCATGGCCACCATCATGTTCTTGTATAGTTTCTTTTAAAAAGGTTAAAGCCAGTTTTTGAAGCTTGGATTTGCGGCGCCGTACTCCACTTATATTGAAGCAAACGCTTGTATCAATAACATAGGGGTGCATCATACGCATTGCATTTAAATCGCAATTTAATGATTGACCGACGAGAATTGCATCGGGCGGTAACAACTCCTGCACTTCTTTATGAACTTCCTTGAGTGTTTTTGTAACACTCTTCATAATTTCTGGTGTAATACCGGAATAGGGTGTTAGATAGTCAATAATTTTGTTGTTTGGTCTTACTAAAGTTTCATACACAGTTTCTAAATTTTCATTTACTATAGAAATACGCGTTAGCTCATTGTAACCTTTCACAGTTCGGCACATTTCACAATCGACGCCAAAGAGAGGGCTGCGATTTGTAACTGGAGTGTACTGAGGCTTTGTAAATACATAAGAGGCGAAATGCTTGCTTAGTTCGCCTCTTAAAGGCATAGGGTAACCTTCGTCTACCATTTGTAGAGCAGACAATAACAGCTTTGTTCTGGGAAATTTGTCATTTGGATGCAAGTCATTGGCTGTTATTTCGACTGGGGCATTGGCGACTGGAAAAATATTCTTGATTAACAATGTAGGATCCTTGTTAAGTTCCAGTGCTGCCTCCAAAGAGCCGTGTTTTTCAATAAGTTGCTCAGCCTGAACACAAGTTAAGGGAACTTGAGCCAATTCTTCTATTATAGAACCTTCTTTGCATGGTGGCATTATAACCTCTAGGCGGGTCTCAAAAACTTTCTTTGTTTCCTCAAATTTGTTTTCGTTAGAGAGATAATGATACAAAGAGAGACCTTCTAGGGTTAATACCACTGTATGGGATAACTGTTTAGATTTTTCAAAACAGCACCAACGTTCCGGCGAACACGGTGAATGTTTACCTAGTAAAGCTAACATTGCTAAGTGTTGAATATCTGTTAAAAATAATGGTGTTCGTTCCTCATCTTCCACAGATAGTAAAGCCTTTTCCCCAAAATCCTTTAATCTAACTGCAGGCATATTTTCTAATTGACGCTTACGCTCTCTAAGCTCCTTTTTTAGTTCTTTATATTCTTTTTCGGATAATTTAATTTGTTTCATGCTGTCTCCATGCGCTCCACACACATCACTGCTCTGACTAATACAAGCTGTATCCTCTGTTACTTTAGGTTTCTTGGTTATTGGCTCTCCATGTGTATACGCATGTACACTATTTGCGACTTTGTTCTTCCCTGTCTTCTTTTTATTATTCATCTGTTTAATGGTAAATATATTAAACAGTTACCTTTGGAAAATTTATTTTTTATTTTTACTACCTTAGTAAATCCATAATCATCCACTTTTGTGCCGAGCTCCTCACTTTCCGCTTTGCTTTCCGGCATTACTACTACCTGACGATCTTTATCGTTTAATTTCACTAAATTGGCCAAAGCAGCAAGTTTCTTTTTTTTTCTTTCGTTTCTTTCTTTTTGTTTCGGTGTCAACGTTTTCATTACTTGCAATCTTTCGAGTTAAAAATAATTATTTGATTTTTATAAGAATTTTTAATTCATATATTTCTGAAAATATATAGTACTCGTCCATGTGTTTCGGATTGTTTCTTTCTCATAATTTTACCAGTGTTGCTTAAGTGTTTAATACACGTATTTACGTTTTGCCGGAATATAAATTTTCTCTTTTAGCCATTGTTTCATTTAACTCGCGTAATCAGAACTGAGACTGGGGAAAAGCCTTTGTAATTAGTAAACTTACAGAGCATTATAAGAACTAAGATCTTTTAAAGTTTGAAAAGAGAGTAAATTTATAGAAAACGTATTTTATTCTCTTAATAAAATTGGATATACGTCATCAATATTGATGCATTTCATTGAAGAATATTCCCCACATAAAAAACAACGCTAATCGAGCCATTCTCCATTGCACACGCGTTTAGTAAAGTGTTTGAATTAATTTACCACGCACAGAGTTGAACTGAAAATCTGAAGGAAGTTTTATTGAAACACGATCCAAGATTTAATAACAGTATTGACCAAAATAGCCTGATTTGATCTGATCAGTATCTCTCGGTCTCTTTCTTTCTCTCTCTCTCTTCATCTCTAAATATATTTACTATAATGAACAAAACACAGATAATAAATTGTTACTGCAAAAAAAAAAACCTACATTTATGGGAAGCTGGACTAAGATCTCCAAAGTTGTCAATTTAAATAGTTTGTTTAATTTTATGAAGCTATGTAGCTTAGCTACGGACCTAACTGATACTACGCCAAAATTAGTGAAAAACTGCTTGCCAACGACTGCATACAAAATATGAGGCGAATTTTCATCAGTGTATTATACCTCTGAATTGACAAATGCCAGCCGAGACAAAATGAGAATGAAACAAGAAACGATAAGAAATGAATTGATTTGAGAAAACTCCTGTGTACATATATTATATATTCTTTTAGATGCTTAGTGCTTTTAAGATTTCAATTTTCGAATTCTTTATATGGCTAAGTTTAAATTAATAATAATAACATATTATCCATAAAATTAAACGCTTAGTCTTGCTTTGACCAATTGTAATCAATCCATACTTTCAGTTAATAATTACATTTTGTTTTAATGTATTTCGATCTTCGGAGTAAAATAAATAAAAACCATAGTCTACTGTTCAAATGTATGGAGCCATTTAAAAAGTTATTCCCTATCTTTTTAATTTATTTTTGATGTTTTATCCAAAGATAGATGGGTACTAATATTGTTTTTCCAATAATAGCGCCAACAAGTAGCGTTCAAATACTTCATAATATATATACGATATATACACACATTGAAACGATTAGGTGTTTAAAGTCTTTTACTCATCTATTTATTTGTGGTTTAACAAATGCTTTAAATAAGAAAGAAAGCTTCAAGTTGTTATAGATTAGTCTGACTTTCCAAAAAAAAATTTCAAAATTGCAATCAACAACTTGCTGTAGTAGGTTGTTACAAAATATAACACATGTAGACACAAGGAGCCGCATTTCCATTTAACAGGCGAAAATGGCGCTTGCCATCGATATACCAAAGCGTCGTAACATGCCACCACACCAAGTTTGAATATACAATAGCATTTCATTTCTAAACTGTAGATCAGACTGTAGATATCACATATGATTAACATTGAGACTTTTGCATTTGAATGGCTAAGTGTCGAAAAAGACGTGGAATTAAAAAGATCACGATATGAGTAGAGTAGGTATGTATTACGACAAAATTTGTTGGAAATCAACTGGTTGTACTGTATTATGATGAAAGAAAGGCTGAAGAGCGCTACCCATCGCACCAGATAATATTGATTGAAGCTAGACGGAAGCTACTGAAATATACGAAAGGAAATCATCGGATAATTGTTTTGGCAACATCACGTCCGGTTCATGTTGCGAAACCAGGCCAGGAGACGTGAAGCGCTGAATTAGAATATCCTACCCTATTGGAGCTTTCTCAATTATCCACTGAGTTCAATAATCATATAAAATCTGCATTTGAAAACCTGAAATAATAACATATAGCGTTAACATAAACAATTTGATAAAATTAATTTTAATATTTTCAGAATGCATAAAAGTAATAACTATTACAATAAGTATGATTAATACGACCAACAATAAGACTAATAATATAAAATTAAAACTAGTTTTGGAAACTTAATTCCAAATTTTAGTAGTGTCGATTTTAAAGCTGAAATAAGAGAAAGATAAGTATTAAGGCCTTTTGAAATTGCAGACGAGAGCTTCTAAGGTCTCCGTGAAAAGGGTAAAACATACGCCAATCAAAATAAAGTATTAATTTATTGAAAATCTCATAGACAATGATAATTGAATTTTTGAAAAAAACCGAAAAAATATAATTTTTGTATAATCATTCATTGTTTAAATGGTGGTTTTTTTATTGCAAAACAGGAAAATAAAATGAGAAAGCTAGCTTGAATATACCAAGAAGAGACCACTCCAATAACTTTAAGATTTTGTAAACAACATTATCAATATATATTTAATAACAAACCTTTCTCACTGTTCTCTTGTGGTATGCTTTTAACTTATTGAGACACATCTTGTGAGGTTTTCAATCTAATGATAAAACGTGTAAAATTAAGATTAATCAATTAAATAAAAGCTATGTTAAGAAATATGTTAACTGATTTTGTGTACAAAATAGTTAACTATTTTTGACTTCATCCCTGGGAGATGAAGCACAAAAGAGAAGAAAAGAATAATTGCAGTAGTCTTCTAAGCCCTCTCTTTATTTATCTCAGTGGAGCATTCGTTTGTTCTTGCATGAGCTTACATCTGCGTTATTTGCTTTATAGGACTTCAAGATACTATAGTTATAGGCATTGGAAAATATTACCGTTTAGATAAACGTTTTCATCTTATGAAATACTCCATAATTCTGTAAAATTTGTTGTATTTGCAACCCTGTAGTGATTTGTTAAATTCGATGGTGATATTTCCAGATCGTAAGGAATGAAGTTAAAGTGTGAGAGAAGTTTTTTTTTTGCCTTCTTGAATTGATGAGTGCAAGAGGTGAGGTTTCGGACAATAAGAAATATTTTTCATATTTAAGATTTAAAAAAATAACTTTTTAAAATCTCAACGATCAAATAAAGAATTAATAATTTCCTAAAGCATTTGTTGAAATATCGACCAAAATATATAGAAGTTTATTCATATGAATATATAAAAGTGCTCGCCAGAGCAAAGAACTTCCGAATATCAAAAACAAATAATAATAATAATGAGCCGAGTTTTTGTGTTCGATTGACATTTCACCAACCGTTTCTGAAGTACAGATCTGTAGAAAGACTAATAATTATAGATATTAATAATGCACATAATATTTGTTAAAAAATAAACTAATATAAAAAGTATAAATTTGTCTAAAATGGTAGGCCTTAGAAGGCACGTTTAAACAAATCAAGAAGTCAAAAATGTGCTATCAATTGTGTAAAATTTTCTGACAACCTGCGAATTTATAAACAAAGCAGTACAAAATGAGAAGATCAAGCAATAAATTCTGCAAATGTTCAGTCAAAAATTAAAATTGTATGTGTTTGATTCTTGAACATTTGAATATCATTAAAAGCTTCGGCATAGGCGTAAACATGTAACACTTAACGCAACCTGCAACAACAGGCATCAATAAGATACTAAGAGTAATGCAGTAGCAATTTCAATGGTGCACGCAATGTCATCTGTAGAGCAGCCGTACCCAATCATCAACACAACTGTCCTGGTTATATGATTGTTTTTTATTATTATCATTCGCCTTTCTTCTTTTATTACTAATCGTGTATTATCATAACATTTTTTCCTTTTGTTTCTTTTTCAAATTTAACACAACTTGTAATTTTTATAAATTATATAAAATCTTACATTCATTTCGTTTTGCTACAATCACTAATAAATCATGGTTACTCAATCTGTTGAAAGTGAATAAAAATGTGATGACTTATCTACTATTAATGAGGGAAAAGTAGGTTTAAGTGCCTGAAGACGCAACTTCGGCATCTTCCACAAAAATTTATGGGCGGAAGATGATCAGGTAGAGTAGAATGTAGAATAGCCCAGGGCTTAACGTCAATGCATTCAAAATTCAACTGTTTTCCTCTCTCCAAAGGGTGTTTATGCACATGTGTTTTATACTGGAAACCATCTGTGGAATGCCTATTGGATAGGACTTGCAATCCTGCCATTATTTCCGAACCAGCTAGCTTACCATGGCGCGTGCAGTTGTCCCTTATCACCTCCCAGTTCCGATGTTTTGACCTTTTTGACAGTTCTACTACAAATTGTGCAGGTTATAAAAAGTAAGTATTCAATTATGAGAAAGAACATAAAACTTAAAGTATTCATTTATAATGTAAATGCTAAACAAATTCAATATATGTTTTCGCAGAAGTTCATACCAGATACGCCCACTCTCTTCCGTTTCAAATCTTTTTTCCACTACATCCGTACATTTGAACATTACTTTTAAAAATTTGTCATCGTCAGTTTTTCTTATTCTCATTCTAGAACTAGCTCTGCTACTTTGCAAAAACTTGTCAACAAGAGATGCCGGATTTTTAATAAATTGTAACAACTGTTCCGTATCCAAACTTGTTTCAGCCTTATAAAAAACAAGCTATGCACATGAATTTTATACTCATTGCGTCGGCGTTGCGAAATTTAAAAATATACAGAACTTTTAGAAAACGAAGCATGAACTAAATATACCTGCATTGGAATATTTTTATTTTTTAATCTGACCAGTCACTCAAAGAGTATCCCTTATTCGCATAACGCGGTGACAGCCAGAAAGGAGTGAGGAAAGAAAAAGAAAAAAAGAAATATGAAGGTGGTGCCCGGAGTCTAGTGGATGCAGGCTCAATCGATAAATGCTATGTCTTTACCGACATAACACTCACTATGTTACTACCAAAGTAAACTCGCTTTTCACGAAGGCAATTGATATGAAACAGTTTAGAAAAACGTATAACAATTCTAGGATTCGCTGATTGAAAGCGGGTGGCAGAATATACACATTTATCACCTGTGCGTCATGTGTCCAGTTAGATTATGTATTTGCTAGCTACGTAAAGTGTTTGTTGGATCACGTTGTCTTTTTTATATCAAGTATTCTGTAGTCTTCTAAAAGCCAACTCCGAAGGTTCATTGTATTTCTCTAAAATAAAATTTTGCTAAGCTTATCTGTTTATCGTTTTTCGTAAAGCATGTGTATATTTGGTCAGTATCAAATTACGAGGTGCTTCGTCTGTGCAAACATTATCCTGATCGCAAGAATGAAGATGTGCGTTTCGAGCTGGTAGAATCGTTGAAAGTTCTTGCATGGCGAAGGACGCGCCTATAGTACAACGTAAACTCAGAACACCTCTATTTTCTGGCTTTTTAATTTATTAACTCAGAAGTTACAATAGACACACGATACAAATTTCCACGTAGGTTCTACAAAAATCTATAAAAGTAGCCACACCTACTCAATATTATAGAAAATTTAGTTTCTCCTTCTTTTTTTATCTCTATTAGTATAAAGGTGATGAGTATGAGAGATTGGGCAAGACAAGTTCAGTTCGTACAAAATATATGAGGGTGAAAATGTTTGAATTGAAAAGATATAATTGCGAGCAAACATGATCTATTTGATTTCATTGGGATTAAGAGATTGCGATGTCATTAGAGATTAGGATGGTGTTTTTATTTCTCTGGCTAGCTCAGTTGACGTGACAAAAGAAAAATTAATGTTCAGTATTGTATTTAAACGCACATACATAAGCCTATCGGTTTAACATATTTGAGTATTTCACGTCCGCACTTCTGTCCTCTGCCTTTAAGACAGACTGAAAGACTAAACTTTTGTTTTCAGTTAGCCTGTATGTCTAACTGCCTGTCCGCCACATTGCAGTCCCGTCTCCCATTATTCTCTTACCACACACTGACTATACTGTCAACATGAAACCGTTGCACTCATTTGCCTACCAGCACTCGATATTTTCTTGTATCCAAAAAAAAAAAAAAAAAAAAAATTATAAAAGTCCCACAAATGTGTAGACATATATACGTACACATACTTATCTCAAACTTTGCGGTTGTTGACAGAAGTGCTGGTGAAAGGTAGTGTACCTGGTTGTTGCATATCACTTCGCGTATACACTTTTTGTTAATCGTGTACCATCCGCACTCCAAAGTTGATGCATAGAAACATTTTTATATGACTCTCTTTTTGCCTCTCTTTTTCTTCTTAAAATTTACAGTTTTAACATTTATATATTTTTGTTAGGCTATATCTTCAGTAGACCACTTTCAACGCTACACTGTTTTATTAAGATCTAAGTTTTCAGTTCTAGTAGTGCTGTTTTTTTTTTAGGTTTAATTAAGTTTAAGTTTTAAATATCATTTTTAATAATATCATTTTTTTGGCATTTATTTATTTATTTTTTTTATATTTCCAATTCAAACAATGTGTCTTTAATTAGGTTTAAGTTTTACCAATCATATATTTAATAATATGTCCTTGTCTCGATTTAAGTATAAGCTTTAACGATCATTTTTAATAAACAGGTTTTATTTAAACGAGCGTTTTTCTTTTTAATTACAATTTTTCACATAATAAGATTTTTTCTTTTGTTGGATTTAAGTTTCTGACAATCATTTTTTTTAAGATGGAGTTTTAATCGCAAAAATAATTAAAGTGCCGTTGTTCGATGAACCTTCTCGACTTATTGCTCATTCTCAACTCAATTGACTCATTTGCTTATTGAACAAGATCTTTTTTTGCTTGCTCGTCGTTTCATGTCCGACTTTCTCGATGTATATACTATATATGATATGGTATATGTAGAATCAGAGACAACTAAATATGTAGATATTCCAACAGTTGCTTCAAAATTGAGATTAGGAGGATTTCACAAGCGCTTTGCCATTCCTTCATTCTTATTATTTGTATGAGGAAAATTTTGTTAATAGAGTCTTAACATGACGTTACATTCTCTCCATCCGCCTGAGTGGCCGAGTAGGCAAGAGTCTAGACGAGCAACTCAGTGATCGGGGGTTCAAATCTCATGCGCGGTAAAGTTTTTAATAAAGCCGAAAGCCTTAGATGCTAGTGCTTTCTTAGAATTTATTCTCTGGCGAAATTAATAATAATAATAAATACATTCTCTCAAACGTTTGCAATGCAGAAGCATATGCAATTCGGTGTTTTTAAGTGAATATGCGCTACGATATATATATGGGTGTGTACGCGCGAACAGTAGGTAGGTAGCATGTATAGTTTGGTTTCCTTTCATCGTTTATTTGGTATTGAAGAATTGTAAGTGTTATACTCACCAATTGCTTCAATAAATTTTAATAAAAATATTCTTGAATATACTCTACAATAGAACAATTTATAAGCGATTTAAAAAGTTACTGAAATAAGTCAAATATATGTATAAGCAAATAACATTATTATATACAAATAATAAGTGAGCAAATAGCATTAATATATATATATATAAAAATAGTAAATAAATATCGCTACAATATGAGCCTTTTTAATAATAAAAAATATCTTCATATTTTTAGATATAAAAGTTTTCATTAAAACTTAGCGAAAATAAAATTTAGAATTCTTCAATTCTTCAAAATAAAACATAAAATGGAAACAAATTACATGTATATTCATTACCATGTATATTCATATAAGATAATTGAAAAAAGAAAATGCCTTCGATAAGGCGAATCGAGAAATTCAGGCGTTGCACTTTCGGGGTGGAAATGGTTTGAGCATATGCTTAAAATTCGAAGCGAAAACAGTATTCATTTCTAATTGGAGCAACTTCTTTTCTATACATACTTAAACATCTAGTTTCCTCCCAAAGACTGCATTCATTTCTTATGATTGGATTGTAACTTTTTAGAAATTTTTGGATATATGTATTCCAGAGTTCGAATCGGCGCGTTTTGAGTTCACATGGCACCATCTCATCCTGATTGTTGAATGTTTTATCAAATTTTTAGTAAGGGTCTTTATTTAGTTGTCTTAGTTCAATGAATATGGGCACCGGCGCTCCACTGTTGTTCGTATTTGGTTATGATTTTTGCGATAAACATTTAACACATAAGCTCGAATCGTCAAAAGGAAAAAAAAATAGATAAGAGCTTAGCCTATGTGCAAGCTAACTTATATATTAACCTCGGAAAGTGAAATCAACGTAAGCCTTTCCTAACCTAACCTAAACCTAAAACATTTTCTTTACCAGAAACTTACATTACACAAGCATCTATCTTCCTGCGCGGCTATTTATAGTCATGATCGTCATGTTGAATTCCAATTTCGAGCCACGATGCCCAGTTGCAATCCTTGAAATATTTTGAATTAAGCAAGAATTGCGCTTGGACAATCAGAGCTAGAAATTTAATTAATAAACCTTAAATTTTCCTCGTTGGGGTCTTAGGTAGCAATCAAAACGATTACGAATTCATGTAAACTTGAAACAAGTCGGATTCAAATTTTCTCTCTCATTATTCAAAACGTAATTGCCTTCACTCTGTTGAAAGCATTGAAGAAGAGCCAAGAATACAATGAGAAATAAATACTTGAAAAATGAGAGTACGGGGGAACGGAAGGAGACGCGGAAAAGCACTTAAGTCGGAAATGGTAAAACCTGTAACTAGCAACGATAACAACAAAGTTAATAAACTTTATTTTAGAATTTTATAAAAGAATCCACAATATTTGAATATGAATGTTTGTTTAAGAAGGAGAAGAAACTATAATCAAACTTTTTTCAATTTATAATCTTGTGTTCATGTGTACGTTATACGTAAAAAATTTTTCCCTATTGTTATTATCAATCCCACCATTGGGAACTTAAACCCGGGCCGTTTTTTGGACGGTTATTGAAAACCCAATTTATTGCTCGACGGGAAAAAAGGATGATTGAAAGGCAGCTCTTAATTATAGCATATTGTGACTATATTTTAACAAGACAATGCTCATCTGCTTAAACTTCTTTTTCTACCTAATTCCTTTGATTCGTTACTAGCTTCAGAGACGCTAAAAATCGTTCTTTATCCTCTGTTATTTTCTTTCACATTTTCCTATAGATATATATATATATAAATATATTTATTTATTTTACCTCCGTGGGTCGCAAACGTTTTGATAAAATGAATATACTTATTATTCTTCGGTGATGGGTATAAAAAATCAGGCGCGCCCACCCAATATTATCGTGTACGAAGATTTAGTTCTTCCCTTTTTGCAGTCTCTTTCAGGATAAGGATGTTACATATGAAAGTTTCGGTCACTACCGCAACTTGCTGTGCAGATTATATTATGTTTTTGCAGATGTACGTAACAGGCAGAAGGGCTTAAGGTAGACGTAACTTTTATTATAATACCGATAAATTCAGAATCAGCTTGTCTGTTATTTAACTTGTGTTTAATCTACAGGTGGTAATTTTTAAGATATTTTGATGCAATTTAGTACAGTGACGTCTTCTGACTCAAGGACGAGCGCTGTTCAAAATGGTTCGGATCGGTACACTTTTTCGACTACTCCTCATATAACGCCCTCTTCTGAGAAGTCGTTATATGGAAAACCATTGCAATTTTCTAAATTTCCCGGCGAAAATGGCTAATTGGGCATTCGAAATTAGTATGAAAACTTTGGACCAGCTAGGCAAATTCGTAAACCCCCTCTCACATAATGAAAATTGAAGTTCATGCGACAAAAAGGTATAATTTTCGATACTTTATGATGAAAACTATATCATAATAGTAATTCAACATAAAAAAATTAGATGTGCCACTTTTGGACCATCTCGGGCTAGTTTTTGGATCGTACCCTAATAAAGGTTTTCAGGAGAGCAGAAAATTCCAAGTTTTAGTATGTGGGGATCAAAACTGACCCATAATAGTAATTTCATTCAAAATCAAGAAATGTGATAAACAATGTAGTGTAGGATATTTAATGGCCGACTATAATGTCCTTACTGGTTTTCTTACTTGTTTAAGTTTACTTCATCTAAAAGCATTTTTAGGTCCTCCAAAAACGTATAAATAATTTTCGACATTTGAGAAGAGACGACGATTTTTGAAAGCGGCACGAACGCGAATAGCAAAATAGAAGTAAATAAGGTCATTAAGATATTTATATGCAACAATATAATATATATAAAATATATATACCTTCCTTCTACCAACGTTCGTTTCGGAATATTTTCACATAAACTCTTGACGTTTAACGAAATTTACTATTAATGCTATTCGCGTACACCGATACTTATATTATTATTGCTTATTGTTTCGCTCTTTGAAGGCGTTTGGAGGGAAGTCCTTGGCTTCTAGGCCTATATCTTCAGAATCACGGAAAATCTTGTTGTTCATTTTCGAATGAAAGCAGTATTTTTGAGACGTTCGGCACGTACACACATCAACTTAAAATTTTTAATATTTTTTTGTTCCTTTTTCTTGTTCTATAAATTAGGGAATCAACGATAAATGATTCGTTGTACTATGTTGGAAAGATTTAGTGGGAGCACGAAACTCTTTGTCTCGTCCTTAATAAAGTTAGAGGTTACCTTTGGTTTTAAATTTTTTTTTTTTTGATTATCTTTTCTTCATATTCCTTTATTAATTTTATTCAGACCCTTGTTTTACCGTTTTTTTACAAGTCATACGTGCGCCACGTTTTTTTTTTTTTTTTTGTTAATTATTTATGGACTTCAAAAGGGAAGATAAAAAATTTTCTTTGAACTGCGCTATTCCTTCCGTAATGACGATTCGGATATGTATATACACATTTTTTTTCTATAAAAAATCACAAATTTTTATAGTTTTTAAAACATATTTTCCGAAAATCGAGACGTAGTTTTAGAAAGAAGTAAAAAAATTCGTGATGTTTTCGTACGAAGATGCTTTATTAAAAATGAATGGGGAGAAAATGGTTTGCTGGTTTCAACACAGGAGACGATGATGGTAAAGAGGCGTCGCACGTTAGTAGCCATCGAAATCTGTCGGAAAGTTGACGAAGACTGGCGTAGTGTAGTCTAAGGTATGGCTGCGCTATTAAACAATCACTAAATGTGGTTATGAATGATTTGCAAGACTTAGACGATCCCGCCTATACAAGCGAATCATACTATAAGTTCGGTCAGACATACTCATATTATATGCTACGGATGCCGTCTCCAAAGAAGTTGTTTTTGTTCACACTTCGAATACACATTGTATCCAAAGAACATCACGTTGAATTCTCATTTCCATAACATCGAGAGGTTATTAATTCTCCTACATTGACATCGCGGAATGGAATGTGAATTCTCTCCACTTCTCCTTGCCTTCCTATACGTTAAGAAACAGCGCAGGCTTATGTTGGCTTTAAAGTTAACCCTGTTTGCTCGACCAAATTCAGCGAGGTCTGCATTGAATGTCTCACCCAGTATGTAGATTTCATCATGCAGCGCGTCCTTACAATGTCTTTTCTTGAAAGAGAATGAGTCAAACAAAACGCTGTCATCGGCAAATTGCACTTCCTATCACACACACTTGATAATAAACCCCAGTAAGAGAGAAGAAGAAAGAACGATGAACGAAAGTCTTGATCGACGATATTATCGCCACCAAATGCGATCATGAAATAGAATACACATCGTGCGGAGGTAGTGGTTGATCGGTATGAAGTAGAGGGACTTGGAGCAAATAATATATATTAGCTGGTCGAACAAAAGTTTTTGAGATTTTTGGGTGTGGCCAGAACTTACAAAAATCGCCGTTCCTTGTGGAGAGCTTTTTCGAAATTGAATACCTGATTTCACTCATTTCTACATTTACTGCGAGGCAGATTGTATTGGTCATCAGGGTTAAACTTCGAATGCCTCCTCGCTGAACTTGACTGCGTCTTTGCAAATCTGATCAGTTCTTTCAACGAAATGAAGTACCCTATTGCATAAGTGACCACCTCCGCAACAGCATTAACACTGATATTTAAGTTGAAATGCATTAAAAAATTAGTCAGCTTTGTCCGATATGTTTTATCGAATTTGAAAATTTCACTTTTCAAAAGTGAAAGAGAAACGTGACAAAGGCTAGCATACGAAAAGAATGCTCAAACGATATAGTGCTACGTATTGCCGTGAGATGCTTGCATCTTGACTTTATATTTTTCCAAAAGCGAAGCAAGATGCAAATGTCATGTTTCGCCGCAATCCATCTGCTCCATTTGCTCATTGAGGAGTTTCCTTTAATCAAAAAAGAGGCAAAGCAACGCACCTTCGTAAGGTTATCTTTAATTATCCACTCATTGCCAAAAGTGTAAGTAATCTGTTGAAGAGAAAACGAGATTTCATTTAACAAGCTAAAACAATCGCTGAGGAATTAATTGCTAAATAAAATCATTAGAGCAAAAGTTTCAAAACGCACAGAGCAAATTATTAGGTTAAGTTATATCATGTGGTATGAAAATAAAGCTTAAACGACGACGACAAATCCTTGAGTATGGACATTTTCATGAAAAAACTTGGAAAACATATTATTGCGAGGATTCGAAGAACAAAATTGATGTTTGCTCTAAAAAAAATGTGAGACGTGCGTTAGTCGAAAAAAAGGAAATAAATAATATTTTCTATTAAATCCTGGTCCCGAAATGTAAAATGTCAGTAAGAACGATACATTTTCACCACATAGTGGAGACGAGACTCACAGGGCCTTAATTTCTTTTTATCTGTAATAGGACTTGAAGAAAGGAAAGGCGTGACTTGCCCGGCCATGTTATATAGACCGGTGTAATCTTCCACTAAGATATCAAATGAAAGTAATATACTATAATAATTTATGTCATTAAAAAAAAAATCATTTTATTTACTATAATATTTTCATTTTACATTTCTCCAATGCAAGTGCCTTATATGCAATTAATCCATCGAAACTTCTCTATGGGCCGAAGGGCAGGTTGGGTGAAGAATAGACCCGGGGGCATGTGCCCGATCGGTTAGTTAAAGTTTCGTCCGTCTTGTATTCGGTAAGGGGCTAGTAGGTGCAAATTCTTTGGTGTAACCGTTCGTGAGCAAGTTATAGGTGCCCTCCCATATCTCAGGAATTCACTAATTCAGCCATGTCACGCACACTTACCTCATAGGCCTCCGTTTGACGTTAAGTGGCACCGCAAAGTTGCCCTAAACCTTTCGTAGGTAACAGCTTTACACTTTAGCCGACCGACAGGACCAATAAATATTTAATTTATTTAAACGTTACATATGAAGTCATCTTTTGCGACGACTAATGTCTGTACTGATTGTCTCAGCGCAAAGAAAGTATACCTGGTAGATGCAGCGATTAGTGCAAGCTATATCTGATTCTATAATAAAGAAACGAATCAAAATTAAATTTCTTCGCTACGATATAAGCTTCAAGGCATTGATTTCATTATGTTCAATTTCAGCGGTAAAGACTTATAAGAAAAAAAGACTTTATGTGAGAAATTTATTTGTTCACCTAATTATATACTATCCTAACAAGAGAACTTCTTCTCTTCTGTAACCAAATCCGATCTCGGGCATAATTAAAGTCTCACTCGATTTTGATTTTTTTGTATTAAACCGCATTAGTGTTACACAGCTCACTTTTTGGTCGAAAAAAGAAGATAACAATCGTATTTCATTGAAACGTAGATATTGGACATGATTTCAGCCATTAATGGAAGAAGTAATAAGTTATGGTACACAAGGTCTCATTCATAATGGACCCGCAAAAATCCTTTGCACACATTTTACAAAAGTACTTTTTCCAGCCCTTATCCAGCATACTTCCAATTGCCAGACAACGGTCGCAAAGAATATTCAAAGAAAAGTACGAAGACCTTTATGACCGATCGCAAAAAGTACCTACATTTTTTATCATTGTGGGTTGATGGGGTTGGGTGTACTGAACCTCCAATGTTTGCCCTCACATATGTATGGTGAGCTGTTAGCTATAATCCCCAAGGCGTCAGTACAAAAAAAAAATTCTATCTAAAATGAGTTCAAGTGCATAAATTCACGCGTTGACAGATAATAAACAAAATACTTTGCACACTTTATATGTTGGCTTGAGGTAGTGAGCAGAGGAAAGTTATATTTGTCCTAAGATTTTGTGCTTATAGTTGGCGCTTCGCAGTCTTTTTAAACATTGCATTGATAATTTGACTGAGCAGTTCGAAAAAGTATGTAAACTATCAGATTTCTTGCATCTTGGAAGCTTGATTTAACTTGCAGTCGTATACTAACCAGCATCGCAGACACGTCACAAGTCAAAAGGGGGCTTTTTTTCTGATTGTATTTTGATAAAAAATTCTGAACACTACGACAAGAAGAAAACCGTCAGTTTTCTCTTAAGATAAGCGACCGGTCACAATGCCAATGTAGGGCTGTTAATCTATTTTGTATATTTTTTCTTACTAATTTTCCCCATTTTCCAAACGAATTTTTCATTTCATTTTAATACATTTAAAGATATTTACATAAATGAGATTTTTCTATCATTTGCTCAATCATTATATTTGTCTCCTGGTAAAATCATATATTGTTCCCCTTATCTAATACACCAAATATATTTTTGCTGTCCGCATATGTTAAGATAATATCGCATATTTTATGAATTCCTTGTATTGGGCAAAAATTTGATAGTAAATGAATATTAAAAATAACAAATAGATACCTACCTGTCATTGAATCTTCCCACTCGACGGTGCCGACAGCGATATATATCGAGGAGACCGCTGTCTTTTACACTTGCAGCTAGTGCCAATGAACAGTAGAATTTCGATTGCATAAAATTATATTTTATAATGAAAGTTATTATTATATTAGCCGAAGCATATATCTATTCACATAACTTCATATATTTTGTATATGTATAATATGAATTCGTTTACGCCACACATGTATAAATACAGACATATAGGTGTGGCTATCACAATTGATCTTCATAAATTGCATTTTCGGAACAAAATGCAGAATGATTGCTTCAAATCATTTCGTGCCGCAAGCTCGCATGTACTTTTCCATTATCCTAGAATTTACAATCGAGAATCAAGTTAGCAAACCTTATATTCTCGTTTCCTTTCACTTTGGTAATGTTCGTTACGCGTATGTAATTGGAAAGAAAGCAAAATAATGACTATACTACACGTATACCTTTTGCGCGCTAGGTATAAATTTAATGATACGATTATTTCAGCTCTTTTTGACTCATTGTTATATCATTGAGTAAATCTGCAATTCGTCAATTTGCTTAAATATCGGAACTTTCGGAAGCTATGCAATTTATAACAATTTGATGATATTTTTCCCATTAAGAGCTTTCGAACTTTAGCAGACATATCCAGAATAATTTTTATTTATATTTATCATTTATATTTTCCCATGCGGATTCTTGATATCTTTAACTAACTAACTTTCAACTAAATTATAATCTTTACATATCCCATGTAAAATTTCATTTGTTTGATTTTTCCGCGACGCTCAAAAAAACTTATTGTCCTTAAGAAATCGTAAGATAGACTTTTGAATATTTCCACACAAGAGTGATAGAATATTTTAGAATATGCATGCATGCATGCATGCATACACAAATCGCAGTGAGCTTATAATGTGTGACAATCATTTAAGTAGTTTTATCCTTTTCTTATTTATATATATATATATATTCTCCGTTTATAAGGATTAAATTTTTTCATTAAACTTTGAATTCTCAGCCGACATCGTATATATTCTCAATTTTCATATTATTAATAGTAACTGAATTAACAAACATACATACAGATTTCCGTTGGTTGGTACTTCTTATTTTACACATTATTATATTTGCTTGCAAAACATATCGCCATTTTACACTTGCTTCTGCTCGAGCACTTTAACTTTGCACATAATCCTTTTTTGTTTCTCTCTTCTTTTCTTTTTCCTTTTTTTTTACAAAGATGAGTATGAGAGTATATATTCTCTACGTACATGTAGATAAAGGTACATATGTGTATCTTACATACGCACACCTATACGTATTAGTTGTAGATTATTACCTAAGAGTTTTAATTCCTTTATATATATATATATATGTTGAAATGCATGTCCTGTTTTCACGGCAATAAAATTTATTTACTTCCTCGTGAGATGCCGTGAGTGTTTCGAAAAGCTCTTTTTCTATACACATAACGCACGTGTTTTGATTTTTACCTTCAATAAGGCGAAATGTTATCAATTCGCGTCAATCATCCCGTCTTCTTCCACTTTCCAAGCACAATCCGTTTTATTTATGTATTTATTATTATTTTATTTTTTCTTTTTTGCGATTACTCCACTTTATTTTTCAGTTTTTAGGTAACCACATTGTATTTTTTATTTTCGTTAAAAATAGTCTTTATTTATTTTTTTTTTTTTGTAAGAGATATCAATTAAATTCGATTAATAATATATGATAAAATATATTAAATTTTGAAAACCAGTCCGCATTTTTTTTTTTACTTCCTAACATCAAAATATTCTACATTTCTTTACTGAAAGACAGAGACGTTCGGTTTACGCTAAATTTCTCTAATTTGTTTTTTCTCTTATATCTCCTTTTTTATGTCTAATCAGCATTTACCCCTTCGCTGGCTTGGTGTTACCATTTTCCAATATGAGCACATAACGGTTTATGCAGTCTAGGTAATTTAATTATTTTCTAGGGAATTGATGGTTGCCAATAAATTTGTGACGATATATGAATTTGATAAGTCTACTTCGATTTTTTGTGTACACACATTATCTCATTTTGAAAAAACATACTAAGTACTTTCCCTTGAACTGTGAGCAATTGGCTGTTGTAATTAGTTCACAGCAAGAGCATAAATATTGATCGATCGTTTTTTAAGAACTTGGACCTTGTTTCTACAATTTCACTTTAAACGTTTGTTGACGGATTTTGAATTTGTCAAAACTATTCTCTCAATCTCGAGATATCTGAAAAATCCAACTCTCGATAATTAACGATTCTTTCTAATTGAGAATAAAAAAAAGTTTCCATTCTCGATTGCAACGGTGTACGTGTGCTTATGTCGAAGTTTCCTAAGCTGAACTTTCTGCTGATTGTAGAAAAGACTTAAAATTGGAGTAAAATATCATTAATATTAAGTTTGACTTTCTAGATAATAGACTTCTGATGATCGAAAACCGACAAGACCAACTTTTATACACCCTACATAAATGTACTTAATTAATAATTCACCAAAAATTATACAATACTTTTACATAAATGCAATATTTTCATGAAGGTTCTCGTGCTGGGCTCTCGAATACTCAAACGTCAACGTGGTCTAAATTTAGTAAACTCAGTTTACTTGCCAAGGACTTTATTATTTTTGAGCTGTGAGGCTTTGTCGTCGTGAGAAACTCCGTATATGGTGCGGTCTTAAAAATAGATCTATGTGATCGAAACTTCCTATGATTTGTTATGAACAAATTTTCATTCTAACATATTAAAATGATTCGGAATCGATTTATATAATAAAAGGTGTGGCTGGTTTAAGCCGTTCTAAAGATTGCGTACGTTCGCAAAAACTTAATATACCCTGTATCTAAGCCTGTATGTTCGTCTGTCCATGTATATTTGTGTTCAAGTAACTTTCGAAATATTTTTTTATGAAATTTGGTAAACTTTTCCATGTTCAACCACTTCCTATATTACACACTACTTTTATAAAATGTATGAAAACAATTCAAATTTTCAGAATTTCGCGACAAAATCGGTGAATATTATTATTGGTAGTTGTAAATTGAATCGGATGAAAAACTGAATCTCTATGGTAAAAAGATTTAATTTTCAATATTTATTGTTGAAAATGTATGCATAATAATAATTTGATATAAACGATAATCGTATCGAATTTGGACAACGTAGAAATATTTTCCGAATCTCACCTCATAAAAAAGTCTGAAGGAAAAATGTCCGATTTTTGATATTTTATAATGAAAATTGGTACGTAAGAGTAATTTGATATATAATTTAGACCCATAAAAGTATAAAGTGGCTCTCATGAAAAGCAAACACGGCGAAGTCTAACTTGTAGTTCTATCTAGTAGTATCTTTGACAACTAAATTCATGTTGCTTAACTTAAATCAGATCGAGGGCTTTCATGAAAATTGTGCCTTCAAAAAATTCGATATGTTTTTGCGTTTGCGGTAAATGCAGAGGTTTGATGCAGAGTGAGTTTATATCAGGAAACTATTAACAAAATTTTTACCCATACAAATAGTAAGAATGAAAAGACAAGCAATTAAGGAATTGCTAATTAACAGCGCTATTATTGTTATTGATAAGAGAAAGATCAAAGTCCCTGAGATTTTGCCAGCACTTCTTGTTATTTAGTTGTCTCTGGCATAAATCGTTACTGGAAAGCAGAAGGAGCCTGAAATTAAGAAATCATGTTTCATTAGCCTTTTTTGCAAATTTATGACACGGATAGACAACAAGATATTGGTGTATTTGAACAAAGCCTGGGAACTGCACATAATCTAAAATCTAATTTAACAACTAAACAAGAAAAATATCTAATATAATTTAATAAAAAGGCAAAATCGGTGCGTAATAGCAATTTAGCAGAAAAATTACCAGTAGGGAATTTGGATCACATAGGTCTATTTTTTTAATTGCTAAGATATATAGGGATTATCAAATCAAAAGGAAGCCCTTCCGTGGACAAAAAGTCAAATTCCTATGACGGAAACTGTAAAGCAATAAATTTAAGTTTGCTCAATTTAAATAACGCCATATGATGTTTCGGGCATCCTCCAATATGCAGTTTTCCATGAAAATAATGTATAATTTTTGGTGTATTATTATGAAAATGAGCAAATAATTGCTACACGCTCAACTACACATCAGCACATATAATTAATCCATATTCCTACATTTGAATGAATGATGCAGTGTGTAAATGAGTGCATTGCTTTCGCACTTTAATCACACAGTTGATAAAAGTGTTCATACATACATAGACATCAAGAACCACACACAGGCGTACATTTCCATCTTTCTTCCTGGTTTCCTTTTCCTTTGCAATCGTATTATATTCACATTTATTTTTTGATCATAATAAGCTACAGCAACATTGCAAAATTCCGCAATGCCACTTCAAATCCAATAAGTACTAGATGGTACCGGTTAAAGGTTTGATGAATGATATATATTGCAAACTTATTAAATAACAAATAAAAATATTATAGTCGGGCAAAGCCGACCATTGAATTTCCTACACCATATTGTCTAACACAATTCTTATCTTTATTATGGAACACAAAAATTATATTTTGTCTCCATATGGAGGCATATCTTTACTGCTCTACAAAGGGCCAATATTCGTGAAAATTTTTATTAGGGTAGAGTCCGAAAAATAGACCGAGATGATCCAAATTTGGTGCAGTTAATTTTTCTATATTGAATTACTACTACGCTATAATATTCATCGTGAAGCAGTGAAAGTTATACCTTTCTGCCGTAAGAACTTCAACTTTCGTTATATGAGAGCGGGTGCAAAAATTGTCCCAGCCGGCCAAAGTTCTCACACCAATTTAGAATGTCGAAATACTATTACGTAGCCACTTTTGTCGTGAAATTTTGAAAATTGCATTTTGTTCCATACAACGACTTTTCAAAGTAGGATATATCGGAAGTAGTCGAAGAAGTGTACTGATCCGAACCATTTTGAACAGCGTTCGTCCTTGAGTCAAAACACGTCATTGTACTAAATTTCATCAAAATATCTCAAAAATTGCGACCTGCAGCTTGAACACAAATTCACGTGGACAGGCTTGAGACAGACTCATAGGCTTAGATCAATTCAGACTATGATTCGGAATCGATCGGTATTATAAAAGGTGGGCCTATCTTAAGCCCTTCTGGGTGTTACATCGGTTCGCTTTATTTAATATACCCCATACAACAAGTGATGCAGACTATAAAAACTGATAGTCGAGTGCGGTTTGAATCGAATTTTTCACATTTACTGTAATCAAAAAAATTCCATTCAAGTCAATTGGTATTCATCTTGAACCCGTTCGAAATATTTTAAAAGCCAACGGTCTGCATAGCCGTATTTAAAAAAAAAAAGCCATTTATAAGAGAAATTATTATGTTAAAACATCTCAAGTTTGCAAAACTCCACATAAATGTTGATGATATAAATTTTTGGAAAGCCATAATTGTTAGTGATCATTTTAATCTAAATATATTCGGATGCGATGGTAAACAAATACTAATTGGCTCACATTTTTCTAGGTCTTCTGCAATATCAATAGCACTAGTTTTGGGTTTGTTCGTTATAATTCTGATAACATTTCGATTTTCTGTACGGTTTCGATGTTCTGCACGGTTGTTTGGTTGATTTATTCAAGTATTAGTATATCCTACATCAATTGTGGTACAGGTTATATTAAGTTTGTGCGGACATACGTAACACATGGAAGGGCGTAAGAAGATAAACCCATCTTCTTATTATGCCGATCGATTTAGAATCAGCTGGTCTATCCCTCTGTCTGTTTGTCTGATACTCGTCCAAGTAAATTTGTGTTCAACCTACACGTGGTAGCTTTTGAGATAATTTGATAAAACTTGGTACATTGACGTGCTGCGACCCAAGAACGAACGCTATTGAGAATTGCTTGGATCGGGTCATGTTTTTCATTCTCCCTCATATAACCGTTCCTACGAAGACTGAATCTTTATAAATATTTCTTGGTAGAAATTTGTTCGTAATAGTAAATTGACATAGAAATCAAACTTACCGAATTTCGAGCGAATTAAGGTTTATTGCTCTTTCCAATTAGATATTTTGGTTTCGAGATATCTAGTTAACTTATTAAACTTACATTTGGCTTATGTATGTATGTGCGCTTTTAAAGAATCAATTCGAAATTTTTCAAAATGCTTTAAAATCTAAGAGTTCTATCATAAGTCATACGCAAGCTAAAGAAAATTTAAATTGCGACAAAAATTGAGAGCAATTTTATTTAAGTCATATATCCAACACTGCTAAATGCTGTCAAGTTTCTAAAATATTTGTAATATATTTTAGCAGAAAATTAAAGTAAACTGGCAACGCTGTTCACTTCGAAAATGTCGCGTGTGATTGTGGAGTCATTCGAACTATAAATCTAATGTGGAAAAATTACAGAAAACGAATGAGGATATCGTCGTGTTTTATTGCGCAAAAGTTCACAGATATATTTTGTAATTTTAATAACATGAATGTTATTGATTTTTCCATATAAAAAAAATTCTTATTGATTGAATTAACAAATTGTACTTGCCTCACACATAATCGGAAAATCCTACGAATTATAAAACGAAGCGAAGGATTTTCCTTCTTCGAAACAAAAAAAAAAAACAAACGAAAACGAATTAATATTTTTTCCGGTACTTGTGGTTATAATACAAACAGCAAAAGTGGATACCGTAAAGATAGAAGATTTGGTAGACTCTGATCCAGATATCGAGTTTATCGAGAAGGATAGCGGAATGTCCTCATTGGGCGGCAGCAAAGATGAGACACCCGAACGTAAAACTGTAGCCACTGTAAGAACTTCATTGAAAAATGAGATAAAAATCGATATATTTTCTACTTTTACGCTGAACGCATATTAATGTATATGTTTATATTTATCATATTTATATTTTTTAGACTAGTAGCTACAACAGTGCAGAAGAAAATTATGATGATGTAAGTCAATTGTATCTGCTAAAATTTATTATTAGATACTTCAGGGAAATTTATATATGCACGGGCGGTCGGTTTGTCCAAACAAAGTCCCATTTCTATGCCAAATAACCTAACCTCATTTTTACGTTCTATTCTATTTAGCTTCAAAATTTATGTACCTTGGTTATAGTGCTTTCTAAGATTGAAAAAATAATACAAACAACACTTGTTTCCCTCTTATAAGCGCAATTTTCTTTTACTATGTGCCATTTTGCATTCGTTCACATTAATAAAAGAGGAAAGTTACAAAAATAGCATAGGTTACACTTTATCGAAACCGCGAACACTTTTTCATATTGTCATCTTTGATAGAATTTGTAGGTTGAAGATCTAAAAAAAGCCTTTTTTTTTTTTAATTAAATGAAAGAACAACATGACGTGGGACAATAATTGTCAAATTGTAATGTACACATATTTAAAAAAACAAAAATTATACTTTCGAAATGGTAATTGCAATATATGCTTCGTCTATTTTATTTTTCAAGGAGCCCGACGAAACCGTGAGTGAACGTTTATGGGGTTTAACAGAAATGTTTCCAGAACCTTTACGCGAATTTACCGGCGCATTGGTGTGCTTGACAACTAAAGGCGTTAAAGGTCTATATAGATTTTCATGCAATGCTTCTTGGATTTTCTTTACAAGCTCGGTAATACTATTTGCTCCAGTCATATTTGAAACAGAACGGGCTCAAATGGAGGAAATGCAAAAAACACAACAAAAACAAGTGTTATTGGGTCCCGGTTCAGCTATGGCAGCTGTTACCGGCCCGACACCAGAACTACCACAAGTGCGCTAAAAATCCGAGATTTAAGTTAATTTTCAAACACCAAAAAAAAAGAAGAAAAAATCAATTGTTTATCTAGCAAACAAATTAGTCGACAGTACGATTGATAAAAGCTAAAACTTAGTAACGAGTAGATGGACAAATTTAATAATTATTAGTTGATTAAAAAATACCAAAACAAGGGAAAAATTCCCTCGAATCTTCGCATAACAATAGAAACAAAACAAAAATGTCTTTCTCTTAAATTTATCTCCCTTTCCTTTACAATTTTAACGTATGCAACTATTTTGCATAAAAAAAGGAATATTCTTGTATCTGCGATGTGACCTTTTAAGCAGTCGCTCATCAAGTAAAAATTTGATAAGTCGGTAACTTTTTCCGTAAAATAAAGTATCCTGCCATCAGCGGCTAAAAAGTTATCGATTAAGTGGGTGTGTGTTTATATAGGGCTTACCTATGTTTTAATAAAAGAAATAAAGCTTTTATGAAATTGTTAAACTAATAAACAAGATAACCTCATTTTCGATTCTTGTTTCATTTTCCTAATAAAATCAAATAGGTATGCAGTCTAGCATTCACTATCAATATGTTTGATGATTTCTTCAACTTCTTTTTTATCCATACCGCGCTTATTAAGCAACTGAAACCTAAATTATACATTTAATAGTAAATCGAGATGAAGTTTATCGGGTATATACGTCTACGAAAAATGTTATTTTGGCGCGACGGATGGTGAGGTGTTCTATGTACTAATAAAACAAAAAAAAAAAAAATGCATTTTTGCAAGCACTAACTGATTTGAAAACGTGTCAAGTCAAAAACTTACAACGCTCTTATCTTTTCAATATTTATTTTCCAAATATTATTGACGAATACATCAATTTTGAAATAAAACTGCATTTGGTTTGGCAAAGCTTTCTAAAATTTTAGATTACTACAAGAGTTTTATTCGTCCTGTTTATAAATAATATTCGGCATGGCCCGAATCTCGCATACCCACCACTATACTTTTTGCATTCTACTCTCGAACTTCTGTTTGATAACCATATCGCTGGTGTTGTTAAGAAAAATGTAATCGCGGTGTCTATCACATCCATTTTAAAATTAATCCAGTTATAGGCAGATAATATATCTTCATTCGAGGAGTATACAAAATAGATTTTAACATTCTGCCTTGTTTGCGTTATGATAAATAAGCATAAAACCTCAAAAAAGTGAAAAAAATAAAATTTAATCAATTGTAACTTTGAGCTTGGCCGATTATTTCCATTTTTCAAACGTAAAGAGTAGACTGTTTCGTAAAATAAATGTTCTGACCAAATTGGCGCACTTTCAATACCAACCCCCGCCCGAAAACGTCCAATGTTTCTACCAAATTTGAAGTCGACATTTTTCTTGTTATATGTGTGAGTAGAGCGCCAACAATACACAACGAACAGACGGACAGACATGGCTAAATCAACTCAGAATTTCACGCTGATCAAGAATATATGTACTTTATGGAGTCTCTGAATCTTTCTGTTGAGTGTAACATACATTATGCAAAAAAGAAAACAGAATGAGTATACACCCATCTCCCAGTGGCTATAAAAAATGGACACATATTTTACTTCTAGACACAAAAATAATGGCGTCGAAATATTTAAAACTATACACATACTAAAATGTTTAGAATACAAATGGAGCGGCCAATAAAGGTTTTTCTTTTTTTCTTACGTTAACATAAAGAAGCCTTAAAATGGAAAGTGATTGAATTGCGAACTGGGGTAAAACCGGTTCCGATTTTCGAGCATTAGTTTTGGAAATTATACAACTAGTGGCCGATTATCTTTTTCAAAATCAGCTTCTTTAACTTCCTACTTAATAGGAGTTTTTCATTACAATTGTATCCATTTTACTCCTTTTTTTCATTACACGAAATTTGGACACACTTAGTGATGTTGGTGGTGCTAGACATAACGTATTAGTCATGAAATTTTGAAAAGAAGAAAAAAAGACTGTAATACTCCTAGATCTTAAAAAGGTAAAAATTTTACATAAGTAGATAATAAAAATGTCGAAAATTTAAGGGAATGTTAGAAAATATATGATTTTTTTTTACGTATATGAATTAAAAGTTTTCATTTGCTCTTTGTATTAAATCTCCAGTTTTTTCAAATGTGTGAACATATAAAGCCAAGCGAGCAGACATATTAGAAAATATTGCCCTCATATTTTTATATATGCATCAGAAGCTTATCAAATGAATTTATGAATGGTCATAAGAAAGGGGAGACGCTAGCAAACTTCAAAAATCCATATAGCCAAAACTAAGTCAGTCCCCAAAATCAAGTCAATACAATTTTATCAAGAAGAGTGACGTCCTGACGCATTATTGCTGACATTATGGCTTCCGAGGGAATGATGGTAATATTTTTATAACGATGGCGAAGTGTGTGCCAATCTTTCTTATCATCTGAGCAAGAAATCAAATAAATTTTCCCCTGTTTCTTCTCATTAACTTTGTCGTATTCATTGTGGACAGAACCACCAGCACATTCGATAATATCTGCAAAGAATAAAGCATATATATAAATTGAGAAAGTAAAAGAAAAAGCCAAATAAAAATACTGTACTTCTAACTTCTTCCGGCTGGGGTCTGATTTTTGAAGTCGTAAAGAATCGACAACCTTGGAATAGTTTTTTGGATCTGGCCATGCCCAAAGATTTTAAAACAGAAAATTTGTGTTTTCTCTCAAATACGGGATCACTAAAGAAATCATTTTTGAAAGATATTAAGGTACGACCCTCGTTCACTTTTTTAATCCATTCTGTCGTGACGATCGGTATGCCTTTGGCCATTGCTAAGAGAAACTTATAGGTACGGCTGCCCTTATCCATAATCAAAAGTTCACTATCCAACGGATCATTGGCCACTGTCCATAAACCTAAAAAAATTCAATTTAAAAGTCAATTCAATTCAATTTTTGGAAAAACAATATTTTAAATATAAAAACCTCTGGAATTTCGCACTAACTCTTCAAAAAGATCTTTATCGATCATTGTAGCAGATATTTGCAAACACCTTTTAGACGAAGTCGAAGTAAGTGGAATATTTGATCCTTCAACATTCTAAATGAAATGAATTTCAGGTTATCATATTGTTAGAATTTAAGTAACGTTATCCTAGCAACTCTGTATTTACGATTCGCTAAAAAACAGTCCGAAAAGTGCGAGTCGATAACATTAAAAATGTAGAAGGATATGCTCGCAAAACCCATATTGTGGATACATATTAAAAAAAATAAATGCTGTTCATGGTTCGTTCACAATTGTCTTACCATTTCTTTTGAGCGCTTAGAAGAATCCTTTGAACTGTGTACGTCGAGACATTTACGTTTAAGTTCATTTTTTAGTATCCTTTCTTTACTGGAACTGCAACTAGAAGAACTGTAACTTTCTTTAGAACGTGCGCGGGTTTCCATCGTGCGTACAACTGAAATAATTTGAAAATTTGTAAATGTCAATAAAGTCCGACCGTTCAATACTTTACATTACTGCACTGATATGTGTGCGTTTAAGTCCTTTCCTTCCTCATTTTGCACAAAATTTGGAAAATTATAAACATATAAAATATCGTGACCTTCAGAGTAAACTCACCACAAATACTAGAAAACCTATATAGTTAAGCGGCCGATTTGTGCAATGTGACTTATAGAAAAATTGATCGCAATTCTATTTTAAGATCGTAATTAAAATAACTTGCGCCTCTAGCGATTTAGGGTGTGAAGAAGAATAAACTTATAAAAATCAATTAACTTACAAGGTTGGGTGGGGATAAGATCGATTTCGTCATCATCTTTCAATTGTGAATGCAGGCTACTGCTTCGATTCTTTTCACGTAGGTCTGAACTTATATTAACGGCACATTTAGATCTTTCAAGAGAAGCCCTTAGTTCTTGATCTAGTGTTCTTAAACGCGCTGAACGCCTTGCTGAGAAGAGCGTAATTGGATTACTCTTTACCGACGTTCCCCTTTCGTTATCAACTTTATGTACTCCAGTGGAATTTTGTAGTTCCCGTTCACGTGTTCTAGCACGTGTCAAACGCTCCTTTGGCACTTCTTGGGTTACAGTTATTGCCGATGTCCGGCTTTTTTTCACAGTTTTCTGTGCATTCCTTTTCGAGAAAGCAGATTTTTCCAATTTTTTGCTTGGCTGGCTATTGTTCGATTCCTTTTCGGCTTTAATGATAGTCTCCTTATTCCTAGTTCCTTTTTTGACTTTTTCTATATATTTACGGTTATTTTCGGTGGAGTTCTTCCAGCTGAGAAGTTTAACTCTGTCTGTTTTGTGGGATATTCTAGATCGCTTAGCGCGCGGTGAGGAGTTCTTTACATGTGACAAAAGCCTATCGAAATCTTTGTTCTCTTTCGGTTTTTTATTAAATAATTTTACCACATTATTTCGCTCGTTTTCTTCGCTTTCAACGTTGCTATCGAGCACATCCTTGCTTGTTGCGACTAGCAACTCTACACCAGAAATATTAATATGCTCTTTTATAAGCTGGGGTGTACACATGAGCAAATCTACATCTGAATCCGATACAGAGCTGTTGCTGGGTGTTGATGTATTGCTTTTTGCGGGCTCATATTCATTTAGCGGTTTCTTAAATGTGCATAAATTAGAAGTTTGGGTTTTTTTTGTTTTCACATCCTTGAAAAATGTAGTTGGACTTTTCGATTTATCTTTCAACAATGAAGAACTTAAGCAAGTTTTCATTGCTGCTGATCTAGAAGTTGGCATCTTTAAGAATTCCTCAGTCAACACGTCATCTGCATTATCATGCACACTTGTTCCATTTACTATCGTAAAAATAGATTTAGATCGCACTGTAAAGAATCATTGGCAAATTTCACATTAATTGTCTGTCACATAAATTTATATTTTTTTAATAACCTTCACTAGGAGGATAAGTGTTTTCTTTGTCACGTAGTGTTAACAAAGGATCATTTTTTCCAAACTTTCCAATCTCCAACGCTTGATTCTGCGGTCTATTTTTAAATACACCTCTAGTAGGAAACGCCTGAGTGGGTACTAAATCTTGCTCATCTTCTGCTACGTTATTGGTTTCATTTCGTACTTCCTGCATCATTTCAGTCAGTTCCAAAAAATCCAATATATCGGGAGTGGCAGTTTCATCTCTAAAAGGAGGGCCTGATGTTATCTCGACGTTTTGCGAGCGTTCAGCTGATAGCAAATTTATTGGCGACATTTCTTTCATTTCTTCTTTGTTGCCTTGTAATTGTGTTAATACCCTACCCGATTCACTTTGCAATGCCATATTGTATTTTATTATGGGTATTGTTTGAGAATCTTCCATTTTATTCTCGTCATTGAAGTCCTGAGTACAGATTCTAAATTGACTGCCTGTTACTTCATCAACGTCTATGGAATCGGCTACAGAATTTGCTTTGTTAGCAAAAGCGCCATTGTCCAAATCTGGGTCTGTAGCTTTTATTTCTTGAGTTTCTGGTATACAGAAATCTTCTTCTTCATCATTAAATGAGATATTATTTAAGCTGATGTTATTTGCAGCATCGGATGTAAAAGATCTCGATTGAGTTTCTGGAAGTGGTTCACTATCGTGGTGTCCAATTAGGTTATTGTTTTCCACATTATGTACCCATTGGACATTATTTTCCCCTATTATAGGACTGAGAGTAAATTTTCTGATATTCGATGTATTTTTCAAGCTCACTACGGAACGGTTGCCATTATGTGACTGGAAAAATAAAACAGCAATTATTTTGAATTGTTTTTAAATTTCATTTACCTCTACCCTTCCGACCAATTTTATTTTAGCCTTTAGTTCTGCACCTAAACCAAAATCCTCATCCAATTTTAAGCGTTCTTTAGTTAGAGGATCGACCCGCTTATTATTTACGTAAATCCCAGAATCACTTTCCAAATCAACGATGAAAATTTCTTCGTTGGAGTCTACCTCCAAGACACAATGCTTTGCATCTATATGCTGCATACATCAAACAAGTTTATAACTACATTTGAACAATTTAAAACACTCCACTTACCCAATTGGTAAGTTGTATATAATTAGTAGACCTTCCCTTTCGGCTGTCCTTACCAATTAAATAACATCCTTTCTCCAGGGAATAACGATGATTCTCAATTTCAAGTTGGAGAGTCACCACAGTCGTCTATTAACGCGACCTTAGCAATTTAATTTTTGGATTTTTTTTATATGGTCGTTACTTACCTCTCCTAACATTTTCTATAATTTTACACGAAAATTTTTATATACTTTTTTCCTCGAAAAGCTACTTTCCCTGAAAGTTTATTTTAAAATTATTGTAGAATTATTCCATTATTCCTCCGTGGACTTTTCGAGAACTAAATAGCGTACATAATATAACTTTTTACCCACTTTATATTAGCAGAGTTGCTCCAGTTTATAAACGAGGTGAAAATAAATATGGAATAATTGAAACAATTGGAAAAAAAACATAAATGCAAGCTAAATTAACAATACGTTCGTTAAGATAATAGTCTGGTTGTCAAATATGCAAACTGAACAAATTTGAAACAACTTAAGCTCTAAGGATAAGGTAGGCATTTTTACGAATCTACAAACTACAATCTTATATTAAAAGGAAGCGATTCAGAATGAATTGCAAATTAAAGACAGTGCCTGGACGCTTTTCTTAAAAATGCTTTTCAGTTCTTCAATTCCTTCTATTTTGTTCTTAAACGATTTTTCGTCAAATTGATCAACTTTAAACGCGAACAGAATTGACGCATTTCAATTGTGAATCATGCGCCGTGATAGCACCTATTATACGATTTTTTTTTATACGAAATTTGATTTAACAAGAATTAAAAATAAAAAAATTATCCTTTTACTTAACTTAAAAAATTCCAAAATGCTGACAAAAAAACATTAAAATCGAATAATTATTTTCACTGCTTTTACCCGTTGGTTCATTCAAATATGGAAAAGGATAAACGAATATGGGATTAGCAAAAAATGCCTGAAAACGACGAAACGTGGAAATATGACACTACTAGAAACTATTTAAAAAGTATTCTAAAAACGTGATATTTACCGCGTATTTGGGCAGAATACAAACATGAAAATTTAATACGGGGATTATAAATATTAGGCTAGCTATTTAGAAGAGCGAAATTAAACAATTTGAATAAACAGTACTATACTCACTTTAATTTATTAAACTTTTTTTTATGTTTTATTTTTTCAAATTTGGCCCAACTCGATACGGAAACAATGCATCTCAAAATGCTCCCATATGCTCGATGATGACAACCACAAACATATCCTTATTGTTGATTTGCTGACTCGCAGAAGAAAAGTACATTATTTTACAAAAAATTAAAAACAAGTAAAAAAGTTATTTTCGGCGGATTGTCGAATATCGCATACCCACCACTATACTTTACTCTCTAAGTTCTTTTATTTAATACCCATATCGCTAGTATTATTAAGAAACTAGTAATCGCGATGTTTTTCACATCCATTTTAAAATTAATGCAGATGTAGGCAGATAATATATCTTCATTCGAGGAATGTACAAAATAGTTTTTAACATTCTGTCTTGTTTGCGTTATGATAAATAAGCATAAAACCTCAAAAAAGTGAAAAAAATAAAATTTAATCAATTGTAACTTTGTTTGAGTTTGGCCGATTATTTCCATTTGTCGATGTAAAGAGTAAACTGTTTCGTCAAGTAAATGTGGAAAATTTCAGTCTTCTAACTTTTATAATTTCTGAGAAACGTGCAAAAACAAGCAAATTTTTGTTAAGGAAAACGGAGTTGTATTCAGTTTATGCTTTACCGCGAACTTATGCTCTGACCAGTCTCGGTCATTTTCAATACCAACCCGCATGCAAAAACTCCCAATGTTGCTACCAAATTTGAAGTCGATATCTTTATTGTTGTGTGTGCGAGTACAGCGCCAACAACACACCTCGCATAGGCCATCAGACATGGCTAAATCACCTTGGAGTATCATCTATTCTGATCAAGAATATATTGTAGTGTCCAATAGAAATGACATTTCTGGTTTTTTTGCATTTTGAATATTTAGTAGTATGTAGTTGGATAATTTTGAGAGGGAAAAGATATGGGAGTTTGCTTGTTTTGGGTATTCAGTGGATGCCTGGTTTAAGTGTTTTATCCCGAATTCAGGGGCATCGTTAAGGAATCCGGGTGAAATCCGTTTCCCTAGTTTTCTATTGCTTGTACGCGGTTGTTTTGGTTGTTGTTTCTTTGATGTCTGTTATTATTATTTCGATTTCGATAGTTGAAATTTCTATTATTGCTGTTGTAGTTATTGGTATTGGAATTATTATTATTGTTTCTATTAGACGTAGCCTTGTCTGGTTTAATATTGAATGTAGTAGCAGATCTAACTTACCTTCAAATCAAAGAACTAGGCCCCAAGCCCACTAACGAATAATAATCCATCATTACTAGTATCAACGATACGTACGTCCTAACCATATTCAAAAACGGCCTCGACGACTACATGAAACCCACTATCTTTGCGGCCCAACTAAAAACCTTTTTCGAAGCAAATAAATTCACAGGTAATGAAAATAAATTATCAAAAGAAAAACTCACACAATCGCCACAACAACCAAAACTCCTACACTAACCAAAACAACAGAAATCAATATCACAACAGTAATCCCATTAGAAATAAGCAAAGATACAATAATCAAAACAGGAATTATCACAATAACAGTAACAACAATTTTAATAGAAAACATACGCTACCCAACCATAGATTCATTACATGGCGATTCTGCCACACCGATACTGCACCCATCCCGTCGCTTTCTGAGGAACATATTTAGATCCTGGCAAACCCAGATCACGTTGAGGCCGAATTTTCCTGACACACACCTCTTATAAAACCCGTCCAACACAATCGTTCCTACAGTCACCTACAACTCACAACAAATAATTTTTACACACTTCCTATAACACCCGCCCACACAATGATCCCACCCGAGGACAGCACTCCAGCTTTCGAGGCAGAACACGGCACATCCTTCTTCACCCCCTTCGACTTCGAACACGCCCATCAACTACTTTTTGGCGACGACGTCAAAACCATTGATTATCAAAAGATAATCAAGGAATGCATATATAGACAGCAGTTCCGTGCCAACTAAAAAAAATAACAACATTCACCCTACCCACTATTAGGAAATATATCAAAAAAAAAAAAAAAAAAAAATAGAAAGAAGAATGAACAAAAAGAATACAAAAAAAAATAATAATAATAATATATATAAATGAAAAATATATAAAAAATATTAACATTAAGAAGATTAGATAGATGCAGAGAATATTAAAATATAGAAAGAATAGATATTTAAAACAAAAATAAAGTTAAAAAGGCTTACTAAACAAAAAAAAAATAATAATAATAATAATAAACAAATAACATTATATTTGAAATAAGGGGATATAACTTTTTCTGTTACATTGATTGATTCCAGAAGTAACCTATTTGGGACACCTAATAACGATCCCGCCCACCTAAAATCCAATCGCTACGACCCTCCCCTCAAAACATGTATTTCATCGCGGTAAAGTCACTGCTGCACAATATGCAGTGTGCAGACCGGATATCCTCTGCCCACCAGCATTTACTAATGGTTTCTCTATATAATACACAAAGTTAACATGCAAAGGAGTTTAAAAGGACAACTGAATATCCAGACTACTGCGGTACGCCCTCGGAAAAATTGATCTGATGAGCTCCCAAGAATGCATAAAAATAAGAATATATAAAAAATAGAAAGAATATTAAAATGAAGACAAAGTATTAGACAGAATATTAAAATGAAGATAAGGTATGTATCAAAGAATATAAGAAGAATATGTGAAGAATAGAAAGAATAATAAAATGAAGATGTAGAACACATAAAGATTATCAAAGAATATTAAAATGAGGAGTATTGGAAAGAATAAATAAGGGGATATGACCATATAAATGAGGAATAGCAAAGGCATACATAAAATAACAAAATAAAACAGCATTGTATTAAGCCCACCCAATGACGACAAATATATGAAGATTATTTAAGAATATATGAAGAATACATCAGAAGATTAACATTGAAATGAGAAATATCGGAAAGACAAATAAAGGGGATATAACTAAACAAATAAAAGAGAAACCAACACCATTATTACAAAACTTAACCTAAACTAAACCACCCAAATACAACTACCTATCTAAGACTCAAGAACAAAACAATTAACAATACAAATAAAAGCCATCTCAAACACTATAAAGATTTAGTAAACCAAATTTAAGAAATGAAAAATTGTAAACCAAATCTAATTAAGACTATGAATACAAAACTGTAAGAAATGAAAAATTTCAAACCAAATCTACTTAAGTATAAAAATACAAATTTAGAAATGCAAAACTATAAACCAAATATAATTAAAAACTATATAAACTAAATACATAAGAATTTATTTAAATTAATTAATTAAGAACTAGCGTTAAAATTTGCTTTCGTAACAGAAAATTGTTAATATGTTGAAGACGTTTTCTCTCTAAATCGTTAAGGGTGTGGTGTGATCGCATATAGGTATATGCATCCACTGTGAAGTGTGTCATGCAAATTGAGCATAATTCATTTTGCTAAAAGAAAAATAAAAATTATGTCACACCTCACCTCGCTGAGTATTGCATTTCGTAATGCAATACAATGCCAGGCGCTACACAACCATACATTCATAACAATATATTTTATAGCGTCTCTGAAGCTTCCTTTTGGGTGTTACATGCATTATCGAAAAAAATAAAATGAATATACTTTTACAATGGTTGGTATAATAGGCAATAACCTATTGTTTTAAAAGATGCTTTTAAACTTTTTTATAACAGTGTTATTTTAAAAGGTAATCTTCCAATTGTGGAGCAATTATTAAAAATAAGTGAGGGATTTCGATGGCGTCATAAAATTTAATTGAATTACGGAGGTTACCAAAATAATTTCTTTAATTTCAAAATTTCATATAAGTGGTCAAATTTATATAATAAACAAAAATTGCAGACTAAAGAAGCATTTATGCGTTCTCTCCTTTGTTAGGATTCTCTAGTGTGCAGCTAGGAATTTAAAATACTTTATAGAACTTGCTTTGCGCTTAAAAGTCGAATGTTAAAAGTTTTTTTGTCTTAAGGTAATAGCCCCTCCAGGAAATGGAAAGGCTGAGCCACCCACGAAAAAATTTGGAAATATTATGCTCGAGTCCAATATGGCGTTTAATTGGGGAATATCCAGTTTCTTGTGAAATGGCCGTTCTAGCTAAGCCTCTATATTCACACTTGCGAAGGTATAATTTGCATCGCATCAACCTAAATAGCGTAACAAAAATATAATACAAACACGATTTGTGATAATTAAATTGAAAAACTTGGAAAGAAAGAAAATTGAATTAATTTTTGTTGCCATATAATTCTATATTTTAGAAAAAGAGTTAATCACCGCGCTATACGAAAGAGAAAAGTGTACAAACTTTCTCCAGGTTATTAGAGTATATTGGTAAAAGGAATAGCGAAAGACGCTACATTCAAAAAAGTAGAAAAAGAAAAGGTACAAACACTTCAGTTTTATGAAATTAATATTTACTTTTGTCTTTAGCCCTCCCATTAAATTCTCACTGTCCATTTTTTATTTTTTTTTTTAATTACTATTATGTGAATTTGTCTGACTATAATTAAAATTGTCCTATATTCCAAAAATATTATTTATTTATTAAGCCTGACGCTTTAAAAAATTACTTTCAAGGGAACTTTCCTCCTTATCATTGTTTGTGGATACGACAGTTAGTTATTTGGTCAATTTTTAAACTATATGGTTTTGCTATAGTAATGCAATGTGGGCTATGTGTTCAACATTTTTTATGTGTTGTATCAATGGTGCGCACTGTGTGTACTACCTTAAACAATTTACGCGACAGCGCCATCACACCAACCTTAACCGCTCCGAATATCTTATGTGGTATGTTCAAACTCCACATACATCTCTATCAAAGAGATTGTCCATGGCTATATATGTATATAGAGGCAGAAATTTGGTTTACTTTTCATTTATTTTACTATCTAACATATTCTTACCATAGGTTTGTTCGTTTGCCCTTGCATATGCATTTATGTACATGTGTGCATGATGATCATGCAGCCGCCGTCTTCTCATATATATGCTATTATTTTGTCATATTATTAACAAATCCGCAATTAATCGGCGACAGATGATATTACTTATGCATATCAGCATCTTTACGAATGCATTATCGGTGCTAACGTGGATTTTTGTGTTCTTGGGCCAAGACCTCTACTCGATCAAACACACACAATCCTAGCATATAAGTAAATAGTTTAATTTTAATAAGCAGCTGCTCTATGAGAGCACAAATTTTCTAAATATTATAGTGATGCCCTAGTTTAAGTATCTGAACAGATAGAACTGTGTGCCAATCCATACAATATAAATTTTTTAACATCTATATAAACAAAATTTAGCAAATAAAATAATCATTTACTGTTAAGATCCTCTAAGGGAATTACAGATATTTTTTATGTGCTTTGAACCAGAACATTAAATTAAGCACATCGAAAAACTATCATTGATAAAAAGTTTGATTTTGTATTAACATATGTTTAAGCATTTTGTTTATCATAGCTTGACAAAGCTTTTTGGTTGCAAAAAGCCAAAAGAGTTTCTAAGGCAGACATGGCTTTATTTATTTATTAACTCATTCCTTTCACAAAATAAATATATACATGACCTCTGGATACAAAAGTATTGGAATGATAGATTGGTATTTGCCAATGTATACATATGTGGAAATGTATAAAAAGTATTAGTGCAGCAATTAATAACGCTTTTTCTTTTGGTTTTTTTTTTTTTTTTCTAATAAATTCGGTCAATGAAGGTCACCTTTAGTGTTGTGAAAATTAGAGATATAGTCGCATAGCAAACAATCATTAGCGAGATACTTTTTCAATAGTGAATAGCAATGAAAACGTTTCTAAACGCGCGTACCATTCTTAGAACAGCGTAGATTGATACAGGTTTTACATTTTGATTAAAAGAATTTACAGGATTACATTTTTTTTTAAAGAATGTTGACAAAAAAAAAATCATGTTTAAACGTACAAACGAAATGTGCTGTTGACACTTTCACTTTTCAGAAAGCTGTTGATCGCTGACTTTATAATAGTATTAACACTTTTCATTATAATTACAACAATTTTTTTTTATACTAAATCTTACAACATTTTAGTATCACTAATAGTTGTTGTTACAATTGCAGAAAAGAGGTGTTAATATGCGATAAAATTTAAAACTAATCTACAAAAAAAGCTTTGATGCATAAATTTATGCGCAAGAAAAAAAGTCATGTTTAAACCGTACAAACGAAATGTGCTCTTGGCAATTTTGGTTTTCAGAAAGCTATTGATCGCTGAATTTACAATAGTATTAGCATTTTTCATTAAAATTATACCAATTTTTTATTATACTAAATCTTGCAACATTTCAATATCACTAACGATTGTCATTACATTTGTAGACAAGAGGTGTTAATATGCGATAAAATTTAAAACTAATCTACTTAAAAAGCTTTGATGCATAAATTTATGCGCAAGAAATTTTTGACAATAACTTCAAGTTATTAAAAAAAAATTCCAGTAAACTTGAAAAATACTGCATATAATAAAAATGAATCCAAACTAAGAAAATAATTAGATTAACAAACTAAGAATATTTAGGAATAAAAACTTTTATAAATAAGGAAAGAAAATTTGTGAAGTTATTTAATATCTTGACGCGTGAGACGATGATGATATTTTTTACCGTCTCTGTAAGAAATCCGATGCGATTCGCTTTTAAAATTATTGACACTTTGTAACAATTTATAAAAAACATTTCTATCCTCCATTACACTTCCGTGGGCATCCTCTAAATGGAATTACAATAGGTAGAAGGATATTTCTGTTTTCAACAGTCTAAATGAGGGGGAAGTTCAAGTTAGATTTATATTGGAATATAACTCGCAACAGAGACCGAAATTTGTATAATCAATTAGGCATTTGATGCGAGCCGATAAAAGAAAGAAGTGCATGACAGACAGTTTTCGTACTTATTTTATTTATGGGTTCTTACCATTTCTTTTTGCGTATTTAGATTTCTTTGAACTAAAGTTGGCGCCACCTTTGCGTTTGACCTCATTTCCTGAACTTTCGGCGTTATTGGCATTGGAACACGAAGAACGATTGGTGCTTTTAAGGCGTGTACGAGTTTCCATAGAGTGCACAACTGAATTAAACAAATATTGTTAAGTACAGAAGATGGTAATGAATGTTTTTTGTAAGCTTTGGATAAATCTAAGTGTATAGATATATAGAAAACTACGATCTCCTGAATAAACGCACAAAACGTATTGAAAATCACACAAAGTTAAGCAGTCGAAGCGACGTGTGGAATGCGATCATAAATCAATTTTTAGGGCATATTTGACGTACCTTGAACCGCTAGCGGTTTAAGGTATGAACAAAAAGTGGAGAATAGAATCATAAACATCACCTTAAACGAAATATCTAATACCGAGACAAACGAAAGAGATGTGAATTGACTTACGGGTTAGCGAAGTCTTTCTTTCCTTTTTCTTTGTTCGTTCCCCGTCTTGCGTACAAGAACGCGTCAAACGCCTACCTGGCATTTCTTGCTCTGTATTATTATTCGATTCCTTTTTGCGTGTATGCGAACGTGTTACGCGTATAGTTAAAGTTTTATCCACTTCATTATTTTCAGGTAAGTTATTGAAGCAGCTTGGTTCGTATTCCAGTGTGTGCAAACGTGTCGCACGCTTACTTGTGGCTCCCTGTATTCCAATATTTCTTGTAGCAATATTACTGTTTTTCGAAGTTTTTGCTACAGTGCTATCCAATGCTTGGGATCTTTCTACCTCCTCGTTGGATGTGTTCTTGTTTGACTCCTTTTTACGTTCAAGGACAACTTTTTTATTTCCAAGTCCCTTTTTGCTTATTTCTTTAATTTTATTATTATTTTGGGTCGAATATTGGTCGAAACCTTGAAAACTGGACATTGCCTGCGACGTCTGAGCTCGCTCATCATGTTGTGAGGCGCTCCTTACACGTGGGAAAAGCATTTCGACATATTTGGTCTTTTCTGTTGTTTTACTAATTGATTGCAGCGAATTTTCTTCCCTGCCAATTCTAACAGTGCTAGTCATAGGAACTGATTGTACGAAGTTATAGTCACCGCAATCTGGATATTCATTTTTCACTTCCTGAATTTTTGACGTATGAAAATTTCCAATCTCTTGGTCTCTGTTAGGTGAATTTTGGTCTATACTGTTCTCGTTATTTGTAGCTTTTTTTCCAAGTCCCTTTTTGGCTACTTGCTTACTTTTATTATTATTTTGCATCGAATATTGGTCGCAATCTTGAAAACTGATCGTTCCATACGATGTCTGAGTTCGCTCAACTTGTTGTAAGGAGCTCTTTACCTGTGGGAAAAGCGTTTCGCCTTCCTTGGTTTTTTTTGTTTTTTTACTAATTAATTGTACACAATTATTTTCTCCGTCGTCAATCCTAATAGTGCTAGTCATTGGAACTGATTGAACGAAGTTACAGTCACCGAAATCTGGATATTCAATTTTCACTTTCTGAATTTTTGGCATATGCAAATCTCCAACCTCTTCATTAAGTGAATTTTGATTTATACTGTTGGTAATGTTTGTAGCAGGCGCTGCTGAAGATGTGGAGATGGGCTGATGAATTCGAGTTGTTGGAATGGTAACACTATCATCATTGTCGTTTGAGATACGATTTTCCAATTTAAATTGTTGAACACACTCGTCTTCTGCTATGAGCCTTGGCGTAACGTCTTTAATAACGGATATACTTTCCAAATGATTGATATTATGAGACTGGAAACATAAATAAGCTTTAAGTTTTACTAGATTGTTTTCATGTTGACTTTACCTCTTCTCTTTCAATTAATTTTATTTTAGCCTTTAGTTGTTCACCCAAACCAAAATCCTCATCCAATTTTAAGCGTTCTTTAGTTAGAGGATCGACCCGCTTATTATTTACGTAAATCCCAGAATCACTTTCCAAATCAACGATGAAAATTTCTTCGTTGGAGTCTACCTCCAAGACACAATGCTTTGCATCTATATGCTGCATACATCAAACAAGTTTATAACTACATTTGAACAATTTAAAACACTCCACTTACCCAATTGGTAAGTTGTATATAATTAGTAGACCTTCCCTTTCGGCTGTCCTTACCAATTAAATAACATCCTTTCTCCAGGGAATAACGATGATTCTCAATTTCAAGTTGGAGAGTCACCACAGTCGTCTATTAACGCGACCTTAGCAATTAAATTTTTGGATTTTTTTTATATGGTCGTTACTTACCTCTCCTAACATTTTCTATAATTTTACACGAAAATTTTTATATACTTTTTTCCTCGAAAAGCTACTTTCCCTGAAAGTTTATTTTAAAATTATTGTAGAATTATTCCATTATTCCTCCGTGGACTTTTCGAGAACTAAATAGCGTACATAACATAACTTTTTACCCACTTTATATTAGCAGAGTTGCTCCAGTTTATAAACGAGGTGAAAATAAATATGGAATAATTGAAACAATTGGAAAAAAACATAAATGCAAGCTAAATTAACAATACGTTCGTTAAGATAATAGTCTGGTTGTCAAATATGCAAACTGAACAAATTTGAAACAACTTAAGCTCTAAGGATAAGGTAGGCATTTTTACGAATCTACAAACTACAATCTTATATTAAAAGGAAGCGATTCAGAATGAATTGCAAATTAAAGACAGTGCCTGGACGCTTTTCTTAAAAATGCTTTTCAATTCTTCAATTCCTTCTATTTTGTTCTTAAACGATTTTTCGTCAAATTGATCAACTTTAAACGCGAACAGAATTGACGCATTTCAATTGTGAATCATGCGCCGTGATAGCACCTATTATACGATTTTTTTTTATACGAAATTTGATTTAACAAGAATTAAAAATAAAAAAATTATCCTTTTACTTAACTTAAAAAATTCCAAAATGCTGACAAAAAAACATTAAAATCGAATAATTATTTTCACTGCTTTTACCCGTTGGTTCATTCAAATATGGAAAAGGATAAACGAATATGGGATTAGCAAAAAATGCCTGAAAACGACGAAACGTGGAAATATGACACTACTAGAAACTATTTAAAAAGTATTCTAAAAACGTGATATTTACCGCGTATTTGGGCAGAATACAAACATGAAAATTTAATACGGGGATTATAAATATTAGGCTAGCTATTTAGAAGAGCGAAATTAAACAATTTGAATAAACAGTACTATACTCACTTTAATCTATTAAACTTTTTTTTTGTGTTTTATTTTTTCAAATTTGGCCCAACTCGATACGGAAACAATGCATCTCAAAATGCTCCCATATGCTCGATGATGACAACCACAAACATATCCTTATTGTTGATTTGCTGACTCGCAGAAGAAAAGTACATTATTTTACAAAAAATGAAAAACAAGTAAAAAAGTTATTTTCGGCGGATTGTCGAATATCGCATACCCACCACTATACTTTACTCTCTAAGTTCTTTTATTTAATACCCATATCGCTAGTATTATTAAGAAACTAGTAATCGCGATGTTTTTCACATCCATTTTAAAATTAATGCAGATATAGGCAGATAATATATCTTCATTCGAGGAATGTACAAAATAATTTTTAACATTCTGTCTTGTTTGCGTTATGATAAATAAGCATAAAACCTCAAAAAAGTGAAAAAAATAAAATTTAATCAATTGTAACTTTGTTTGAGTTTGGCCGATTATTTCCATTTGTCGATGTAAAGAGTAAACTGTTTCGTCAAGTAAATGTGGAAAATTTCAGTCTTCTAACTTTTATAATTTCTGAGAAACGTGCAAAAACAAGCAAATTTTTGTTAAGGAAAACGGAGTTGTATTCAGTTTATGCTTTACCGCGAACTTATGCTCTGACCAGTCTCGGTCATTTTCAATACCAACCCGCATGCAAAAACTCCCAATGTTGCTACCAAATTTGAAGTCGATATCTTTATTGTTGTGTGTGCGAGTACAGCGCCAACAACACACCT